CGCCACCTTAGGTGTATGTGGCTGGCGCCTTAGCCACTTGAGCCACAGGCACTGAGCCAGAATTTTTTTTTTTTTTTTGGGTTGAGACAGAATCTCAAGCTGTTGCTCTGGGTAGACTGTGGTGTCACAGCTCAGTGGTATCTTTTTGTTACAGTTGTCATTGCTGTCTAGCAGGCCCAGGCAGGTTATGAACGCACTGGCCTCAATGTATGCGTCTGGTGCTGTAACGACTGTGCTATGCGTGCCAAGCCCCCAAAACCCAATTTTTAAGATGAGCAAAAGACTCGAACTTTTCCCTTATAGGCGATTAGGAAAAAAGCAACCTCAAACTCTTGGGCTTAAGCAATTCTCTTGCCTCAGCCTCCCAAGTAGCTGGGACTACAGGCGTTCACCAAAGGCCCAGCTAATTATAAGTTGTAGTTGTCACTGTTTGGCAGGCCAGGGCTGGATTCTAACCTGCCAGCTCTGGTGTATGTGGCTGGTGCTCTAGCCGCTTGAGCTACAGGCGTGGAGCCTCCCTCATGAAATTTATCTGGAGGAGACAGATCTCAATACACAAGTAAAACTGCACCTGTGAAATGAAAAGGCAAGCTGCACACAGATTGGAAGAAAATATATGCAAAGCATACGTCTGCTGAAGGACTTGCAGCCAGATATGTAAAGAACTTTTCAAGCTCAATAACCCAATTTTGTATTTATTTATTTTGAGACAGAGTCTCACCATGTCACCCTCAGTAGAGTGCTGTGACATTTGGGCATAAGCAATTCCCTCGCCTCAGCCTCCCAAGTAGCTAGGACTACAGGCCAAAATGCCCAGCTATTTTTTGTTGCAGTTGTCATTGTTGTTTAGCAGGCCCAGATAGGTTACAAACCCGCCAGCCTCGATGTATGTGGCTGGCGCTATAACAACTGTGCTATGTGTGCCAAGCCCCCAAAACCCAATTTTCTTTTCTTTTCTTTTCTTTTTATTGAATGGTAACTATGTACATTAATGCACTGAATGCACTTCTAGGGTACAGTGTGGGGTTTTCACACACAATCCAAAACACTTCCATCAAACTGGTTAACATAGCCTTCATGTCATTTTCT